CCAAGGACCTTCAAAGTCTGTCATATTGTTTGGGGGAGGGTCTAGACCTGGGCTGCAATAGTATCCCTCCATAGGGAATGGGCTCCAAATGTCCATTTGTGCTCCAGGGATAAAGATTGGCTCCAATGTCAGAGGAACCATAGACTGTCTCGGGCTCCTAGCTGGTAGCCACATTCAGAGAGTTTGGTTTGGTCCAATGCTGTTTCCCCAGCTTTATGACTAGGATCTCCATTCTATCAGTAGGTCAGGTCCACTGTTTGTGTAGGTCTCTCCATCCCCATCCTGGCTCCTTTGCTCAACCCTCCTCCCTCTCCACAATTGAATTCCAGTAGTATGGTTCAGTGATTAGCTATGGGTGTCTGTTTCTGCTTCGAACAGCAAATGGATGAAGACTTTCCTTCCTCTCCCTTCCCCTGGGCTCCAATTTGGTCAGGGGTTCTTGTCCCCATCACCTTCTTCGAGGGACTATGCAATCTTCTCTTGGGGTCCTCCTTGTTTCCTAGCTCCTCTGGCAGTATGGAATGTAGGCTAGTGATCCTTTGCTCTATGTCAAAAATGAGTGAGTATATACCATGTTTATCTTTTTGTGATTGGGTTACCTCACTGAGGATATTTTCTTCTAGTTCCATCCATTTGCCTGCGAATTTCAAGATTCCATTGCTTTTTTCTGCTGAGTAGTACTCCATTGTGTAAATGTACCACATTTTCTCTATCCATTCTTCAGGTGAGGGGCATCTAGGTTGTTTCCAGGTTCGGGCTATTACAAATAATGCTGATATGAACATAGTTGAACATATGTCCTTATTGTATGAGTGTGCATTCTTTGGGTATATGCCAAAGAGAGGGATTGCTGGATCTTGTGGTAGACTGATTCCCATTTTCCTGGGAAACCGCCAAACTGATTTCCAAAGTGCCTGTACAAGTTCGCACTCACACCAGCAATGGAGGAGAGTTCCTCTTTCTTCACATCCTCTCAAGCATAAATCTATGCTTTATGACATAAATCTATGTCATTGGTGTTTTTGATTTTAGCCATTCTGATAGGAGTAAGATGGTATCTCAGAATGGTTTTGCGTTGCATTTCCCTGATGGCTAAGGATGTTGAGCATTTTCTCAAGTGTCTTTCAGCCATTTTGGATTCCTCTATTGAGAATTCTCTATTAATTTCTGCACTCCATCTTTTAATTGCGTTGTTTGGTGTTTTGGTGGCTAGCTTCTTGAGTTCATTGTATATTTTGGAGATCAGCTCTCAGTCAGATGTGGGGTTGGTGAATATCCTTTCCCATTCTGTGGGCTGGTGTTTTGTCTTGCTGACTGTGTCCTTTGCTTTACAGAAGATTCTCAGTTTCAGGAGGTCCCATTTATTAATTGTCGATCTCAATGTTTGAGCTACTAGTGTTATGTTCAGAAAGCGGTCTCCTATACAAGATATGGATCAATCTTCAATCTTCTACATGTCCGGATCCAGTTATGCCAGCACCATTTGTTGAAGATGCTTTCTTTCTTCCATTGTATAAATTTAGCTTCTTTGTAAAAAAAAATCAGGTGTTCATAGGTGTGTGGGTTAATATCAGGGTTTTCAATTCAATTCCATTGGTCAACCTGTCTATTTTTGTGTCAATATCAAGCTGTTTTCAGGACTATGGCTCTATAATAGAAATTGAAGTCAGGGATGGTGATGCCTCCGGAAGTTTCTCTATTGTACAGGGTTGTTTTGGCTCTCCTGGTGTGTGTGTGTGTGTGTGTGTGTGTGTGTGTGTGTGTGTGTGTGTGTGTGTCCATATGAAGCTGAGTACTGGTCTCTCAAGATCTGTAAAGAACTTTTACTATGTTGATCCTACCTATCCAAGAGCATGCGAGATCTTTCCATTTTCTGGTATATTCTTTAATTTCTTTCTTTAAAGACTCAAAGTTCTTACTATACAGGTCTTTCTCATTTTTGGTTAGTGTTACCCCGAGATATTTTATGTTGTTAGTTGCTATTGTAAAGGGTGATGTTTCTGTGATTTCTTTCTCATTCTGTTTATCATCTGTATATAGTACAGCTACTGATTTTTTTGAGTTAATCTTGTATCCTGCCACATTGCTGAAGGTGTTTATCAGCTGTAGTAGTTCCCTGGTAGAGTTTTTTGTGGCACTTATGTAGACTATCATATCATCTGCAAATAGTGAAAGTTTGACTTCTTCCTTTCCAATTTGTATCCCCTTGATCTCCTTTTGTTGTTTTATTGCTCTGGCTAGGACTTCAAGTACAATATTGAAGAGATATGGGGGGAGTGGACAGCCCTGTTTTGTTCCTGATTTTAGAGGAATGGCCTTGAGTTTCTCTCTGTTTAGTTTGATGTTGGCTGTTGGTTTGCAGTATATTGCTTTTATCATGCTAGGTATGTTCCTTTTATTCCTGATCTCTCCAAGACCTTTATCATATAGGGATGTTTGATTTTGTCCAAAGGCTTTTCCAGCATCTAGCAAAATGACCATGTGGTTCTTCTTTTTTAGTTTGTTTATATGGTGAATTATACTGGTGGATTTTCGTATGTTGAACCATCCCTGCATTCCTGGGATAAAGCCAACTTGATCATGTTGGATGATTTATCTGATGTGTTTTTTTATTCAATTTGCCAGTATTTTTGTGTGGATGCTCATGAGTGATATTGGTCTGTAATTCTCTTTTTTCGTTTTGTTTTTGTGTGGCTTGGGTACCAAGGTAATTGTAGCCTCATAGAAAGAGCTTGGCAATGTCCCTTCTGCTGCTATTATGTGGAACAATTTGAGGAATACTGGTATTAGCTCTCCTTTAAATTTCTGGTAGAATTCTGCAGTGAATCCATCTGGGCCTGGGCTTCTTTGGTTAGTAGATTTTTGATCACTGCTTCTATTTAATTAGGGGTTATAGGTCTGTTCAACTTACTTAATCTGTTTGTGATTTAATTTTGGTAAGTGATATTTATCCAGAAAATTTTCCATTTCCTTTAGATTTTTGAATTTTGTGGAGTACAGGTTTTCAAAGTATGATCTGATCATTCTTGGGATTTCTTCAGTGTCCATTGTTATGTCTCCCTTTTCATTTCTGATTTTGTTAATTAGCATCCTCTCTCTCTGCCTTTTGGTTAGTTTGGATAAAGGTTTGTCTATCTTGTTGACTTTCTCGAAGAACCAACTCTTTGTTTTCATTGAGTCTTTGTAGTATATTCCTAGTTTCTACTTTATTGATTTCAGACCTCAGCTTGATTATTTCCTGGCGTCTATTCCTCCGGGGAATGCTTGCTTTCTTTTGTTCTAGAGCTTTCAGTTGTGCTGTTAATTCTCTAGCGTGACTGTTCTCCAGTGTCTTCATGTGGGCATTTAGTGCTATGAACTTTCCTCTTAGCACTGCTTTCAAAGTGTCCCATAGGTTTGGGTATGTTGTGTCTTCATTCTCATCGAATTCTAGGAAGTCTTTAGTTTCTTTTTTTATTTCTTCCTCGACCCAGGAATGGTTCAGTTGTGCATTATTTAATTTCCATGAGTTTGTAGGGTTTCTACAATTTGTATTTTTGTTGAATTCTAACTTTAAAGCATAGTGGTCTGATAAGATACAGGGGTTTTTTTGTATCCTTGGAGGTTTGCTATATTGGAGAGTATGTGGTCAATTTTAGAGAAGGTTCCATGTGGCGATGAGAAGGTATATTCTTTTGTGTTCGGGTGGAATGTTCTATGGATATCTGTTAAACCCAATGGGGTAAAAACATCTGTTAGTTCTTTTGTTTCTTTGTTAAGTTTCTGTCTGGTAGTCCTATGTAGTGGTGAGAGTGGGGTGTTGAAGTCTCCTACTATAAGTGTGTGAGGTTTTATGTGTGATTTGAGCTTTAGTAATGTTTCTTTTACAAATGTGGATGCCTTTGTA